AAAAAATATAAATGTGTTGTAGATTGGGGTAACGATAAAATGAAGGTTCATTATAACGGAGAAGATTTTATTATTCCGGTCACTATGCACAAAGTCAAGAATAAACTCGAAGTAAATTGCGCTACTACATCTCAAGATGATAAGCCTATGGTATCTGATCAAATTTCTCAAGAGACAGATAATGAGTGGTGTGCTTCTGCGGGTTTTAGCCCGGATTCTGATGATCCGTCATTAAAAAAAAACGCATGAGCTATGAGGAGTTAGAAAAAACGCTATATGAGGTACTTAAATCCAAGGTTAAATTAATAGAACTCAATAAAAAATTACGAATTCATAGAGATGAACCTGAAGACTTAAACGGAAAGATTACCAATATAGTGGAAGCGAAGATAGATTAGTTACGATTTAAAAATCTTTCTGATTCACGTTCATATTCTTCTGTTTCTTTGCGATCCTGCTTAATCAAAGCATATAGGTCATCTTTTCTTTCTACTTTTTTTGTCAGGGTATTAGGTGTATCGGCCCCGCTGATAATATGTGTCTTAGCACTAGCTCCGCTATTAGGTGAATCAGAAATGCGAACCGATTTAGATCTCAGTTTTCTTTTTTTAACCTGTTTGTTCGGAATATTAATTTGGTTAGAATTCTCAGTTATACTAGTTTCTCCAGTGGAGCTGGTATGGTCAATACTTGGTGAGCATGATTCGGAGGGTAATTTTAATATAGGTAAATCCTGACTTGATGGTGTTATTGATTCTGATATAGGCTGATACCATTCTATCATACTAACTTCTTGCCCTCTCCAAATTTTATAAAAACGGTTATTTGTCATGGGGTATTTTTCTCTCGGCTTTTTTAAAACATCAGTTTTGGGTTTTACATCACGATATTGCATAATAAATTTATAATCTTCTGGTGATAATGGAACTGCATCGGATCGCATACGTTTAGCCATGTTATTTTTATAATATCCGTAATATCCGTAATATCTGTAATATCAATAATTTATTGAGGAAAAAAATATTATATTATATGCATAATACGTATAGTATCGATAATTAGTATGTGTAGTATACATAGTGTGTATAGTATTGATAATTTAGTATGCATCGTACACATAATATGCATAGTACGCATAGTGCATATAGTATATATAATATGAATATTTAGTATCGAGATTCATCCATATTTTTTATTATATTATCTTTTATTTGATATGACATATGTAAAAGATCTTGAGGAAGAAATACATCGTATCCTCCAATCCTCTTCTAAATTGCGTAACTATAACAGTGAGTTACGGAATAAATTCATAAAGCAAGAGAAAAATTTTGATCGTGAATGGAGAGGTTGGGAACAGGAGAGAAAAAAATGGAGTCAGAAACTGGGTGGGTCCAATACTATAATCTAGAAATTACGTACTCATGATCTCGAACTCATTGATGAAGCTAGGCATTTACAGATTGAAAACGCTAATAAAGACATTTTTCTTGCAAAGTCCAAAGCCGAGAATGATATAAAATCTAAGAAAATTAGATCGCTTGAGTCTATGATTAAGATATTGGAAAGTAAGTTGTCTTCAGCTCAGAAAGACGTGATTTCGATTCAAAACGACTTATTGAAAAAAGAAACCGAGATCACGTCGCTTAAATCTAAAATAGCTGAAGTAGAACATGAGTTAGCTTCGAAAGTCAATGAACTTGAGTGTCTGAAATCGGAGGCTATATCAAAGCCCGTCATTGGTGGAGATGTCAAAAAAAATATAATCAAGAGGCACAAAGTGCACTGCTCCGCAGATAGTAATCTAAGTAAATATTTTATACGCGGAAAAAATATGGATTCAATAGAAAAAATTGATAGTAATATCTCGACACATACTAATGGTGAAATTACCGAACCATCAAAAAATATTACAGAGATTATTACCAAGGCAAGTGATGAAATCGATATTAGCAAAACCAGACACGAAGTGTTCTGCTCCGCAGACAACAATACACTTCAAGAATTACCGAATATGTCACCTCTATTAGCATGTATATTACTTGTTCTGTTAATTATTGCCATTATATGGTTTGTGGTGAGACGCACGTGGAATATAGGTAGGCTCAAAGAGCCAGAATTCAAAGGGTCGCCTTATGGCTCGCTCTGCAATAAAAAAGTGATCGGCTATAGAATACGTGGATCCGATAACAGGCTATCTATTTGAACTTCGATATTATTTATGTACGAAAAAATAATAGTTTTTAATCATGCCTAATATTTGTTGTAGTTGTAAGGAACCATCATCACCATTATATACGGATTGTATTGTTACACACTCCTTTATGGTAGTAGGGATGAGATTACGCGGTGGTCATAAGTTTAAGAAATCAGATACCATCACTCTTGAACTGGAGCCTTCTAATACGTATGATAAGAATGCGATGAAAGTTATAGTAGATGGTATCCATAAAGCCTATGTGGCAAAGGACGAAAATGTTAGTATAGGAGATTTGGTGAAAAAATACCCGAATTATCGGATTACTGCTCATGGGAAAAAGAACTATAACAAATCAGCGTCTTTAAACCTTGAATATCCCTGGATGGTTTGTGAGAGATGTCGCGATACGCTATAAGCATCGAGGGACTATGACTATAGTTATTGGTGAATCTATTTGAAGTTGGGAGTTATTTATGTACGAAAAAATATTATTATTAATGTATAGCGGAGCTAGTGTCTGTGACAGGCACGTAAGTGTCATTGTTCCACAATAAGCCACAAGTCTTCGACTCTAAAGAGATATTTTATATATTCGAATGTATCTTCTCCAAAATTATAAAAATCTAATGCGTTTCCGTAATTATCTTTTTCAATATTGGTCAATATCGCATTTCTAATTCTTTTACTGAAGATCATATTTTTATTTAATAAATACTTTTCTACTTTTACGAGCTTATCAAATGTTATTAATGCATTGTTATACAGTGCGGCACAAAAATAATTGCACTACACATGTATTTTTATTTTTTAAAATATTTTAATAACTACTTGATAAAATAAGATAAAAATCTATATTAATATATTTAAGAATATAAAAAAC